CTGCGCCTCCCAGCAACGATTTAATAACCCCAATCTTGGCTGACAGGTTTGATTGTTCCAAACTGCCGTCAGCACCTCCCAACAACGACTTTACCCCAATCCTGGCTGACAGGTTTGGTTGCTTCAAAATTCCGCCTGTACCTCCCAACAACGATTTCATAACCCCAATCTTGGCTGACAGGTTTGGTTGTTCCAAACTGCCGCCAGCACCTCCCAACAACGAGCTTACCCCAATCCTGGCTGACAGGTTTGGTTGCTTCTAAATGTCGCCAGCACCTTGCTGACAAGTTTGGTTGTTTCAAGATGGCACCAACACCCCACCCCCAGTCCTGGCTGACAGGCTTGGTTGCCTCTGGCGACAAGACCTCCCAACAACGACTTTGTGTTTGCTTCAACAGGGCACCAACACCTCCCAGCATCCGCAAAAAGCTCGTTTTGGCTTCAGGGACCAAGGCAAAGCCTGTGAGGGCCACTGCAACTCTCGCAAGGCAATGGTGAACAACCTTGTTAAGAGGGCCAAAACACCATACAATCCTTGCCGAAAAGGTTGACCCTTTACGCATTCCAACATCCTAAAAGCAAGCCCGCCAGAAAATACCAACTCGCCAGAAGCCCTTGAAAGAGGGATGTTGGCTTGATCTCGGAATGCACCAAGTGCAAAGGCTGAGGGCGAGGTCGTGTCTGTGATAGCTCATCTGCAAAGACTTGTTTTCTAGGGTGTTGGTCTCGGGCGCCGTGATTTCCATGTGCCGGGAGGCAGCAAACACTTCCGTTTCTCCCCTCGCCGCACGCAGTAGTTCTCCAAGCAATGTCTTCCGGGCTCAACCCTGAACCCTGATTGCACCCTGAGCTAGCGTGAAGGAGTGCACGGCTCCGATACTTCATTTTCAAGGCCCTTGAAACCCTAAGCCCTCAGCCTCTACCCGGTTGGATCCTTCGACATCACTTCACGAAGCAGATCACACTTGGCTTGCCAGGGAGGATAGTCAGAGAGCTCTTCCAGGTAGCTGCAGTCCCTTGGCAGAGTCGGAGGCTCTACGGATTTGGTCAGCATCCTAACGAAGGCACGGTATTGATTACCAAAGAATGAGGAGGCGGATTACTTGCTCAGCCTTCTGGTCTCAAGGTCTGCCCACAACACCCGAGGGCTGGTGGCTTTCAACTCACTGGATGCCTTCTACGTCCCCCCTGAAGAAAACAAGATGCGATCGCTACACTCTGGCAAGAATAGGTTTCGAGCTGAAAGGCTGCTCGAAGGTTACCAGACTAAGGATCCTGCACAAGACGGAGGATAAGGATGCTGATTTCAGGTTTGGAGCCCTCCCTTCCCTTCCAGGCCCAGGGGCTTCATGAAGAACATCCGCGCCATTCCTGCGGAAGGAGCTGCAAAGGAGCCCTAAATCTGCTGGAGAGCCGGGTAGCCATTTTGCTGAGACGGTTTTGGATCGAAGCCTTTTGGCGGCCGGATGCGTAGGTGCGATGTGGGCGGCAGGCTTTCCCCTTCTCCCCTGGTAACTATCCATACTGGAAAGGCTATACTGTCTATACAATCCATAACCTGCCTTCAAGATGCCACTAGGCGGTCTCAATGAGATTTTTGTCACGGCGATGACGACTTGTGACGTCGTTCCCCTGCTTGTTTCCCTGCCTCCTTATGTGTCCAGTTCCTGTGGATTAGAGAGCAGTAGTCATTCTCGACGCGCCCGTGCTAGAACCTCGTATGAACACTCAAAACAATGTCTGTCCTGGCACCGGCATTTGCCAGGCCAGCATGACCTGCACTGCAGGCATGCCTTCTTTATGGAAAGATTATTTTAAGGGAGCTGAGAGAGGGTTTGGGGCTGAAGGCTGCAGGTTTGGGTCCGAGGTATCGCGATTGTAAGACGGGGCGAGAACCACCTTTAACAGGCAGACGTTGCGATCGTGCTGGCGATCTGACTAGTGGGCGAAGACGCAGTCCAAAAAGACAACCCCACATTGACACCGAAGAGAGCGACCCAAATCTGCACGTCAAATTCAGCTTAGACCTCATGAGAGGCTCACGGGCTTCAAGCACCTACAAGCCACCCCCGCCCTCAGCAGCATTTCGAAGGAGATGACACACGTGAGCCCCTGAAACAGAGTTTCGAGCTTGAGGAAGCCTGGCGCTGGAGGAGGATTGAGGCGACTGAGGTCGACACACTCGGGCTGCTCTCGGTGGTTTGCACCGCATGCGGCGTGTTCACCTCCAGTGCGGAGTGTTGCGAACATCAGAAACCTTTTTCGTAGAGTGCATTTAAGTTGCGAGGACTCTCAAAGATCTGCCAAGCTTGGCGTTTGGAGTTTCGGGCTTTTCAAGTCCTGGTATCAAGGGATTGAAGTGCAAGGGTTCACCGTCCAACTGTGTATGGCTTCCTTGTCGTGGCTCTTCCTGAAAGCATCTTGGATGTAAGGCGCCTTGAAGCTAGGACCTTATAAAGGTTATTGCTGACAGTCCAAGGTTTGGCGTGTAGAGTTCTGCTGCTCCCAAACCCCAAACCCAACTCAGCTGCCCCCAAAGGGTGGCCGGAAGGTAGATCAGCTCTCCGGCATTCACCACGCCCTCCATGCCCCGCACGAAAGCCACGTTCGGCTGCCGGCCTCGAGGCTTTTGAGAGCTTCCACGGATGATTGGGTCTCGGGGTTCATCAAATTTAAATCGTCTTGTACATTTGAGACTTCAGGGTATGACGTCCGGAACGGCAGCGCGCCTTTTGTAATCGCAATCACTCCATGACTTGCGGCTGCTATTATACAATTAGCGACACTTCTGCTACTACCACTGTAGCGACACCAGAGTTGTTCAAAAACTCTTGCCAGTCTTCCAAGAAATCAACAGACCGGCCCTCGATCTTCTATTAGGTAGTGTTTCTCAAGTTTACTCGGCTCCCTAGAATCTAGAACCTGTATCAGGGACCTGTATATTCTGAAATTTCCATATCTGTGGTGCAGGTAGTCGCCTAAAGGGAACATGGAGGGCGCAGGAAGCCTTCTGCCACTTCTCGCGTGATGATGCTGGCTGATACAAGAGTCTTGCCATCCACGCTACCGTTACTGTCACTCATCACTGCTGTAGCTTACGCTTCGGTTTAACACCATCATAACTTGCAACCAGTAGCGCCTACATTAGAAAATTAGAACCATAGTTCCTCGCAGCAGCAGCAGCAGCAGCAGCAGCAGCAGCAGCAGCAGCAATCGTCGTTGCAGTCGTCGTCGTCGACGTTGTCGTCGCGGTGGTGACGCTTGTCGTTGTCGCGGCGGTTGTGGTGGTTGTGGTGGTTGTGGCGGTTGTGGCGGTTGTGGTGGTTGTGGTGGTTGTGGCGGTTGTGGTTACTGCTACTTCTACGATTGGTCAGGGAGCTTTCGCCACAACAATAGTCTGAATCTACTAGCTATATGCTTCAGCGAGCCTGCATCGGGCTGAACTATGTCTGCGGAGAAAACTCGATCCGCATACTCGCTTCCTGCATTGGGGGTTGCAGACTTTTTGTAGGAGGGCTCTGGGGTTTTAGGCTTAGCTCAAGCTTTTGTTGCCTGGAGCTTCGGGCTCCCTTTTCTTTCAGAATGTCTGGGCAGCATCGCCCGTTGGCTTGGCCTCTCGCTCACGGGATGACAGCTCGGGGTTTCTCGGGTGAGCTTTTCGTCGGGAACTCCAGGCTGCAAGCACCCTCGCAGGGCTTCGCGACCCGTCCATTCCGAATTCCCTCCCACAAGTACTTCGCGAGCCCGATCATGATCGGCCGTCAATGTGTCCCAAGTAAACCCAGACCCTTCAGCTCGAGCCGTGAACCCCAAGGCCTCCAAACACACCTTGAACCCCTCAACCCTAGGACTACAAGCCCTACAGCAGGCATCCCTAAACGCCTAAGAACCCGACACGTCCTGCAAACCCCACAAACCCTAAACTTGCCTCCTAAATCCCCGGACCTCCAAATTCAGGCCGCTCATAGAGCCACTCGGTGGAGGAAGGCGCCGACACGACGACGCGCTTGGAGCCGTGCAGCATCCAGAGCCTGGATTCTCAGACTGCTTCTTCGTCTTCTTCCGGCCAATCTTGCTGCCGTGCCAGGACATCTTGCATAGTTATCCTCTATGGTACGAGATTAGCAAGATGGTTTCTCAAGCAAAGGCTTGCCTGCCTGTGGCTCGATGCTTCAAGGCCGCAGGCAGTTCTGCTCCTCGTGCTACTCGCAGGACGAAGTTGAATGTCAACCACAGTCGGAGGGCTCAACACACTGAATGAATACCCTCAGTCCACATTCCTTGCTAGACGACATCCGGGTCAGAATCCCTGTGCTTGCAACATTGTGCTCCAACGCTCCGAGAAGCAAGTTGTCGTTGTATGGCCCATGCTGATGAAGCGGAATCGCCCGTGAACCAGCGGGTGCCACAAAAAGCACCTTGCGGACCCTCGCGAGGTCCCGAAACTCGCACTCCACAGGTGAACGAGGTGAAACGGTCCAAACTCTTCAGCTCAAAACCTGAAGCCCCTTGGGCGCATTTCTGATGGTCAATCCCATCGTTCTGGTCGTGGCATCACGAAGCTGATAATTGATGCGATGGACAGATGAGAATGACGATGATGATGATGATGATGGTGATGACCATCATCACCATCATCATCATCATCATGGGCATGATGATCATGGTCATGCCATCATGACGACCATCATGATCACAACGATCACGACGATCACCATGGTGATGATGACCACGAGGATAGTGATGGTGACCACGAGGATGATGATGATGATGATGATGACGAAGATGGTGACCACGAGGATGATGATGATGATGAGGATGATGATGATGATGGTGACGATTGTGAAGACGACAACGATGACGAGGATGATGACGAGGATGATGACGATGATGATGATGAGGCTGATGAGGATGAGGATGAGTATGATAAGGATGAGAATGAGGATGAGGAGGAGGAGGAGGATTTTGATAATGGCGATGATGAGCATGATGACGACCATCATCATCTTCGCAATTGTCACGACCACCACTACCATCAGCATGATGATCATGGTCGGGGCTTGGGTTCTTGGCAAATCGAGATCATACCAACAAACCGGAACTCAGATTGTGAATGAAGGTTTTAGTGCCGGGATGGACTTCCAAAGGCAGGTAGGTGGCCGCGATAAGCTCAAAACAGACAGCACAACAAGGAAACAAAGCTACCACGACAAGATATGTTACTAGGGACTAGTACCATTGTACCTGTAGTGTCGAACACTTGGCACGAAAGAGCTCTTGTCAGGGATCAAGACAGCTCTTATCAGGGCTAAAGGAAGTCGTGCTGTTGTCAAGATGTCTTAGCCGTGGTAGATAAAGGGTTCGCATTAAATATACTACATTCGAGTATGATGTACTATTGTCTGGTATTGTATTCTACATGACAAGCTGTGTCCGTGTACTAGTTTGCATTACATGAGACTGTGTTGATTGTGGTGGAAAGGAGACTCTGAAGCCCAAATCGGGGCAGGTGGCCGGAAACATCTGCTTGAACTTCGGGCTGTTGGGCCGGCCGTCCGCAGCCTCAGAGGCTTGGAACTCGGGCCAAAGGGCTCTTGCTTCGCCGATGCCTCTGCGAGTACATATCTTGTCGTTGCTCAGTACATATCCGCCTGGTTGCTCAGGTTTACTTGAATAACTTCGGGTACAACGTAGCAGGAGCAGCTTGCAGTAGCTTCCGTCATGTGGCTTCCTGCTTGAATGCAGTTCCAGCAGAACAATGTCTAGTCTAGCCCCGTCCTGCCATTTGTGAAGACTCCACCGGCAGAGTACTGCTGTCGCAAGCCTAGTTTCCAGGCCACGACCATCTGGGATTGAGACTGAGCAATCACACATCCAAGGCATATTCAAACTCATCCGGACATCTCCGAACACCAGAAATCATGGAGCCAACCAAGGACTCCGGCGATACAGTCGGAAGAGGTGAAAAAGGGATCTTGAGCTGAATCCGATACCAGGCACCCTTGCTTAAGCTCGGGCTAAATGACCCAATCTAACTGTACACATTACTACATACTTGCCACAATACCTTACACACTGTAAACCGGATTGCTCCCTTCATAATCAAACCTGTGCCATTTCACTACTGTCTGTCTCTCTCGCTTTCGGTATATAAGACACAAGTATATGCACATGCGTGTTCTTACATAGCGCTGTACGTACATTTGCACAAAACCATATAGGAAGGGATGTACTCAAACTGCAAGCCCAGCAGCAAAGTCTCGGAGCCGCCGCAACGTGCGTTGGCCCTCTGCAAACCTCCGCACGCAGGACTGCTTACGATGCGTGGCCCTTCCGGACCCGTGTGCTTCGAACAGCATCGCCAGGGTCTACACCGAAGACCTGGCCGAGCGCAGCCGCCAACATCAAAATCTCATTCATGGCATCATCGCACCATGTCCGTCACATGCTCCCAGTTCTGCCACAGTTCGGCGGCCGTGGAACTTCTACGAAGGCTTAGGGTTTGGATCTTTACCTTTTTCATGCATGATTTGCACAACCGCACTCTTATCCTTCCTATCTGAGGGCTTTGGATTGGGGGGAGGCGGTCCCAGACTTCCCCTTTGTTTGGCAGCCCCTCTGTCAGGCAAGCAGCAGCTCGGGGCAGGCAGACTCGTAGAACTCTTGCGCGCTGACCATGACCGGGAAGATGTAGTCCACGATTTGGTCCTCATACCTTGCAAGGATAGCGATGGCAAGCGTTGCATTTGCGTGGCCACTTGATTCGATCCCGAGAGTCTAGAGATGACCTGGCTCGTTTCGACAAGACTGGTGCTTAAGATTTCTTGTTCCTGCATGGGCGTGTGCCAGACAGAGAGGAAAGCACGAGCAATAGTTTAGGCAACAGTATCAATCGCAGCAACAAGTGTTTCACAACGCTACAAACGTTTTGCTATGAGAGGTGAGCGAGAAACCTTGTGAATCAGGAACAACGGCTTGAGTTGGGCTGCAGCGTCGACACACTGAGAACTCATATAATTACATCATCATCATCAGCAGCAGCATCATCCGCTCGAGTGCCGTGATGATTGTCTCAAAGGTTCCTGCTACTTCCGATGTTTCCTTACTGCAGGCAATGTGCTTTGGCTTGACCGACAGTCCGGTTCGGGGATCTCACCTTTCGAGGCCCTGAATAGTCGGGGTTACCGTGAGAGAAACGACCAAAATCATGGGAGGCTCCCACCTTCCTCGAGCCCACACACGATGTGCTCGGTGCTGGAGATGTTGGGGGCCCTCCCTGCCCCCATGTCTCGGCTGAGCAGTTTGCATCCAGCCAAAGGGGACCCTAAAAGCCTCAAGCTCTACACCCCTAAACCCCGGGAACCCCCGACCCTAAGCTACAAGGCCCTCCCAGTGCCGTCTTGGTACAGACCTGCCTCGCTCCTCCCTTTGGCGATGATCTCTTCGTCCAGTGGCAGATCCCCAACATACTCCTACATCGGCTTCTTGAGCTTCTACGACGAAGGATGAATGAAGAGCTTGGTTCTGCTTCGTTTCAGATACCTTGATGTTACGGCCTTGCATGCGGCAATACGAACATCAGGACCACAAGAACACATCAGCGCCCTCCTTCATCGATCTTGTCGTATGCATGGCCTTGATCACATCATCTGTGCTCCGGTTGTAGGCTTCACGAAGCCTTCCGCAGGGCAGTGCTGAAGGCTTCCACCAAGAGCAATGATAGATCTGGCCGAGACAACTGTGCGCCCGGGCTCCCCAAATTGAACGGTGAAGTCCTAGGGGCACTTGAGGCCTGGAATCCAGGAAGAGCTTCCGGAGGAAGGCCGGAATCGCGCGGAGGCCGGCGGAGTATCTCCTGCAGGGATTCGGTGGTGAAGAAGGGATGCAAAGCCCCTGCATCACCAAAACGCATCTCAGAACAGGGCCAGAACATGCCGCACAGCACCCATGGAGCATGGGTTTGTGAAAACCCTGGCCCAAGCACTACAAAAAGGAAAAAACGAAAACAAGCACGATCCTTGCAAGAACCCTCCGAAGCGGGTGTCCGATGGAACGTCAGCGGCATCTCCCCGCACTTCTTCAGAAGAGCTTTGGGACTCCAGGTCGATTTAGGCGCCAGGTCCGTGAGAATCCTTGGGCAGACGTTGAAGGGTCTTTCGAGCTGCTCGTAGAGAGAGTGGAGGATTTGAGGAAAGAACCGGACATTGCGCCTCAGTCTGAGGATTTTCAGGCTTGGCCTGGGACCCCCGAAAGACTGCAGCCCCGAAAGTTCCTCTCCTCTCCTCCCGAGTTGGCGCTCACCCTAATCAAAACATACCCGAAACCCAAGCAAACCCTTAAGGAAATGCCGACATTCCAAAAAACCTCAAACAAGTCTCTAACTCCTGAACCCCGAGAACCTGCGCTGGGTGGAGTTGAGGCTCACCGGCCGCCTTTCTTTCACATATCTCTCCTCGAACTCCTCGGCCGAGAGGGATGCCAAGCTCCTCCTTCAAGCGTTGGACTAGAATCCTGGGCTCGGGGGTGCTTAAAAGGCGAGACTTGGCGCGCGATTTCAAGAATTGCGTGACGATGTAGGGGTCAGGGTCGTCATAACGCCTTCGAGAGATCTCTTCAACCCTCGAAGTGTCTAAAAATACAGCTCCCCAAGCTGAAAACCGCGCAGAAGACACTGACACCCTAAACCCTTTCTCTAACCCGCCGAAGCCGCCTGAACCGCCTGCATGTAAGAGCCCTCTCCTTTCGATGGCGGGCCAGGTCTGCGAGGTGAAGTTGTAGGCTCCGAAGCCCGGGAAAGAGTGCTCGTAGTTCCGGCGCAGGCGCACATCGGTTCCTTCAGTTTTTTTAAAGTTCGGGACCGCTTGGCATGAGAAGCTCGCCCCCATGTCAGGGTGGTGGCTTGGGATGGGGCTTGGGCCTCCCCGGCCTTTACTGCGAAGACGAGGTTCCGAACTTGGCCCAAAGCACTGCTGCAGCCCTCTGCAGTTTCCACTGCCCGGCACTGGTCCCGATCAAGGCAGCCTGACTCTGTGTAAAAGATTCTTGGGTGCTTGCCGCTTACGGTCTGCGATGGGCTTCATCGGGTCGAGGGCTTCTAGAAGCGCTTGGGTCGTAGGATTCTGAACATCGGAGCATTGCTTTCAGAGAAGCCGTGAAATGAAAGACTTGGTTGTTAGCTCGTTCCGGGCTTAGGAAGACTGCGTGCAGGGCCTGAGATATGATATGGAATTGGCGGGGCGGCGCTCAGAAGTTGTGTTGCCTGCTCGGTTTTCGGCTTTGCTCACTCACTTCACGCGGGATTTCGCTGCACGAGTTTGAAGCGCGTAGTTTCGCTGCGCGCTTTTCATTGTTTTGCCTTGAGCTGGTGATGCACCCCCGACCCCCCCCCGACCCCCCCAGCGCCCTCAGTGGACCTGTTCCGTTTAGTGGCGCTCACACCAATTACTGACCATGCCTTCAGAGGCACTGGCGGTCGCACCTTTTGCTAAAGCAAAGCTAGCAAGCTGGAACTCGCAGGAGTCATGCGCTCGGGGACCGAGCCCTGCCCGATTTAATGACTGCCGCCCAACGCCGCCGACCCCGAGGAAGGCTTCGTGCGCGCGAGCTTCAAAGCGAGTCCTATCGTTGCGCGCGTAGGTAAGAATTTAATGAATTCCAGTTCAATGCACGACATAATTTGTTTCCTGTGGCTTGTGGCAGTGGGGGCTTGAGTGCAGATGTTCCGAAAGTAGGCACGGAAAACGTCCAATGCTCAAGTCTTCAATTCCCAAGTGCTGAGTTGCAACCAGGCAAACCTGAACTACCAACTTATCGGCCGGTCTTGAATTGCAAAGCCTGAGGCTCCTGCAAAGGACGCTGGGGGGCGCTGGGTCGGGGGGTTGAGGGGTAGGGCTTGCCAAGCTTGGGCTCGAATTAAATCACTAAATCACTACTTTGAAGGCATGGTCCAGTAGGGCGCTGCGGGGGCTGAGGGGTCGGGAGGGTTGGGGCATGAGGGGCAGGGCTTGCCTTGGGCTGGGACTGAATGACGACATCCCCCCCTCCGCCCAACCCCGCTGATGCTAATGATGCGCGCCCTTTGCGGGCTTCTGCAACCCGTTCAAAAATTAGCAAAAATATCGCCTCGAGGTGCAGGGCCGGTTGCAGGCGCCTCGAGTGCTCATGATGCTCGCCGGCTGGCCTCCTGAATTCGTCCACGGGGCGCTATAGCCTGGGGAATGGCTGCGAAATGCGTGCGTGTTCCGAAAGGCCTCCGGGCGAGGTCCCGCGTGGTTCGGTGGAAAAACGAAGGTCCAATGAAGAAGGGTCGGCGGCACTGCCGGTCGCGCCTAAAGAAAAAAGCAAAGCCTGCAAGCTACACCGAGGCTATAGCCTCGAACCCATAGGATGCATGCGCTCGGGGTCCGATTCTATGGGCTGCGCCCACGAGCTGCACCGTGGAGCAAGGCCACGCCCCCCCTCGCCAAACCCCGCTGATGCTGATGATGCGCGCCCGTTGGTGTCCGCCGAACCCCGCTGATGCTGATGATGCGCGCCCACGGGGCTTCCGCAACCCGCTGCAGGCACGCAGGGTACCCATGATGCTCGCCGGATGCCTTCTGGGGTCGTCCAAAGGCGAGGTCCCGCGCGGTTCGGTGGAAAAACGAAGGTCCGAGGAAGCAGGGTGGGCGGCCCGTCGGCAGCCCCTAGGATCTGAACTAAACTTTAACGACCCCCAGGCCCTGGGTACCTAGCTATCTTGAAAACTCCCAAGCCCAAGAAGCGTGCTTGCACCCGCAGAGACCACCAAAGCTAAAATGCTGCTTCGGGAGCAGCAACGGCCACGGCCACAGCCAAGCATGCCCCGACCCGGGCCATCGTCTCTTCCGAGCGAGGGGCTTAGGGCATTTATTCGCTTCGCGCTTGGAGTCTTGGGGTCAAGGGCTCCGTCCGGGAGCCAACGGGTGACGGGGTGCTGGGATTGTCAGAGAACTCCTTCGGGGTGGGGCTTCAGGATCTTCGCACGTGCGGCATAGGCTAACATGTTGTGGGCTTTGCTTTTCAGGTGACCGGCCCGAGTAAACAGCTCCAGCTTGAGAAGGGAGTAGGTCGCCCGCCCCAGCCGATGCACTTTAAACCCAACCTTGGCAGAAACTCTCCTGGATCTCGAGCTTCGATCGATAGCCCTGTGTACTAAAGCGACGAAACCCACAGAGCGACTCAAAAATTAAACCGTCTTCGACTTCGATCCGGCAGCACCGAAGACTCCTTAACTTGGCAGGTCCGTCGCTGCCAATCCAGGACGGCTTCACCCAACTAAGGCTTCTCAACTTCAGGCCTTCCACTCGGTCACAACCGCAAAGAACGCCAAGCTCAGGGCTTATAGGCCTTCTTTTCCCCTCTCACGCGCGCTGCGTGGGTGGTGTTCGCGATCGTTCTCGTGGGGCCGCCGGTAGCGGGGAAGCCGTCGGACACGAAGTCAACCTGCAGCTCACCCTACCGGCCAAACTGCGGCTTTTTGCGCAACCAGAGTTTTGAAATTCAATTCCCCCATGCTCGATGCCGAAAACTCTGTGTACCCTTGAGGTTGATGTCAAAACACCGATTCGGGGCCCGGACGGGGCTCCGCCGATGAGGAGCAACGGAGGAGCGGCTGGAACCTCGGCTTCGGGGAGGCAGGTGTGAGGGATCAAAGGACGCGAGACTTCGGATGTGGTGTTTGGGGGAGGACAAGCAGGCTTGAAATGCCGTTCACACCCAAAGTCGAGCCATGGGTCTACCACTTTCAATCCAACCCGATGTCAAGACAAGCAGCTGGCAGCAATGCTTGGGCATGCGCCTGTTATGCACCTACCCCTCTCCCTCCTCGGGTCTCATGCCCAGTAAGAGCTGCAACCAGAGGGCAGATGGAATGGGCAGCGCCGCATTGGGCGTTGGCAGGAGGTAGGGCTGCTCAGACCTCGCTGAGACATGACGAAATTCAGCGCCGAGGCGTCTTGCTTACCATGACTCGATCCCATCTTCTTCCCCCCACCCCAACACACCACCGAAACTTCTCTCACAAATCCCCGACAACTGAGACCCAAGCGCACGGAGTGTCTCGGCAGCTGTCGGGACCTTATTGCGACTCGACATGTTTCGGAGACCTGGAGGGCAAACTTTCCCTCTCGATGCTCGCAACGAGGCTCGGCATGAACATGCTTTTGACCATGTTGCGAACAGTGATGCTGATGCCCGCGCTGACCAGTGCCGCCACCACCAGCACCACACCAACACCACCACCACCACCACCACCACCACCACAACTAGCAACAACCATCACCACCACCGACAACAACCAAAAAAGGAAAACAATGCAGAACGACAAGAATAACAGGAGTACGACGACGAAGCAGTCGTTTCCTCAACAGCCACGACGACGAGGATGATGACGATGTGATGGTGATGATGATGATGATGATGAGGATGAGGATGATGATTGTTATGATCACAATGGCCTTTCCAATTCTTGACATTGTTGCCATGGGCCCCGTGGTTCACAGGCTGGTCTTAAGACATAAATTTGCTTGGGATGTTCTTGGGAACAAGTGTGCGTTATGTAATGTTTGGTGTGAGTTTCTCACATGCTTCTCCTATCTGCTGAGTCATGCTGGAGTTGAATTTGTTGCTGTATTGTTTTATTGACTTATTCTTGAGTTCCTCTAGATGTGTTCTTGGTTTTCCTGATGTTTTTGGGCGGGCGGCCCACAGACCCCCGAGAATCTAGATTTCCGATCTCCGGACCCCAAGATTTACATTAAAACTTAGGATGAAACTCTAGGTTTTCGTAGCTTTCAAGACGGAAGTAACGGAACCCAAGACATTTCATTGGAGAACTTTCGGAGCTGTGTTTGGGAGGATGCAGGGGCTGGACCTGCAAAGAGAAATCAAATGTGACGCTGTGCAGTCAATCTCCTGCCAGCAAGTATTCGGAAACGCTCAAAACCTATCCGAACACACAACCAACCCCTGAAAATGAACAAGCCCAAGATTCCACGCTAAATCATAAGCCCCAGGTGAAGAAACATCACGATACAGTCACATAGT